GCTTATATTGCTTGGAGGAAGGGTAGGTGACTGTCTGGAATAAGCTAAACCAGCAAGAAAAAACATTGGCAGTTCAGGTTGCATTAGCACTATATATCAACAATATACCTATTCTGCCTCTTGCACAGACTTGTTTTTGTTTTGTTTTTTAAATGTCTGTACCTCAGAATAGCACAATGCTCCCTAACCAGCATTGGGATTAGGGCAGTACTGAACAAAAGGAAAGAAAAGCACAACCTTGAGAAGCCCCAGAGGTCTCACACTCTGGTACTGACCATGTTTCTGTGCTCAGGTGATCTATTTGTCAGCATACATGTCCCCCTTTAAAACTGATACCTGTTCCCTACAGAAGCATACAAAGCAACACCCAAGTATTGCTGTCTTCTCCCTCTTAACATTTCTGGACATTAACATTTCCCTCATATTCCTAGGAGTCTTGTCCCTATATTCCTGGTCTTCGCTACTGAGGCCTACTTCCCTCTAACACTGTTCTGCCCGTTAAATTCATTCAAAGTGCTGATACCAAGATCACCTTCCTGGCTAGTAATCTGACCACATCACACTCATTTCTTTGATTTCTCCTACCAATTCCACTTCAACACCAAATCAAGTTAAATCTTGTCCTGGCTTGCAAGGGCCTTCACATGTCTCCCCCTTGCTACTTACCCCCCCCCTTTTTTTTTTTTTAAATCTTGGCACACTGGACTCTTTGGCCTCCCCTCTATCAATGATGCCAGCTTTTACTACCCTATTATCTGCCTTAGCAAAAGCTCCTTCATGAAATTTGTTTCATGGCAAGCCATATGCATGCAATGCCCTCCCCAGTTCAGTTCACAGAATCTGTTGCTTTCAAACCCAAGGGACATGTCTACAGAGCTGCCTATGAGAATCACGTCAACTGATGTTTAACACTCTCTCAGCAATCACATCACTCATTTGTAGCTTTTAATTAAACTACCTCAGAATGGGTAGTTGCTCCAATACTAGTGACAGATGCCATAATAAAAGTCTAGTTAGACAGAGCATTTGAAGCCAAGTAGAAGTGCAAACTGATCTATGTAATTCCTGTTACCTTCACCTTCCCTCCATTTCCTTTGATTGTTGATTCAATTTTTTTGCATCTTGTCTTGAAATTAGATTACAGAATATTATATTAAACAGTTCTTTCACACCTGTTTACCCAGTAAGTAACACAACAATAAACAGATCCTGACTGGGGGTCCCTGGCAGCACTACCAGTTGAACAAAACACTACCAGTTTGAACAAAACTAAAGATGCCAGTGTACATTGCATACATACTCCAAGTAACCCAGTACTGAAAAAGTTCAGAAAAAAATCAATCATTTTTAAAAAACACAACTACAGAGAGTAGACATACTGCAAATAGAGGAGTAGTTGTTTTTGTTTTGGATTCACAGTGGTGGGAAAAGACGTCTGTTCTTTCAGTTGTAATAATAAATAATTTTGTCAAATGTTAAATGTTTATCTTAGTTAAGAAAGTCTTTAAAATAAAAACAAGTGAAAAGTATTAGTTTATCATTAGTGCAATTAGAGTTACTCCTAGAATAAAAGACAATAGTTGTTTTGTTGCATCTAGGTTTAGCATTATGAAAAGATGCTTTTGCATCTAAGTTAGCGTAGCATGACAATGATCAGACAGCTTACCATATAGATTAAGAGACCCTCATTCTTAGTTTTCACTTTCATTTTTAAATTACAATATCCTCACGACTCTTGGACATATGCCATATTAGTAATTTATTAATACTGATTTTCATTAAATTACTTAATCCCTCCCAACCATGGAAACTCAGTTACCTTCCGAATTCTCAATCAAATACTCAAGGAAGTAGATGAGTTTTACACTATGGCCTAAAGTCATACTTGTTGTTTCATAATAGAAGATAACTAGTTTCAGAGCTGAGAACTGACTAGCATGAACACCTGAGAACTGAACAGTTACATTTCAGCTCAACTAGCTCTTTGTCATGACACTGAGAAAGAGGGAGACAGTCTGATCTAGCCAAGACTCAAACCACATTCAGCTTTGTAAGTCAGGATCAACACCTTGAATGCACTTTGAAGCTAAATAAGATGCTAATACACATTTTAGTATGTTGGTAAACTATCTAGAGTTGCCTCAACACATAAGATCATACCCTGAATATGACTTACGGGGCACCAAAGCAGTCCAATTTTGAGGTCATGAAGGACTCAAACAATTGTAGCAATTGTATGTTCACATCAGAAAAACAAAAGTCACAGAAAATCTTGCCAAACAGAATGAAGAAATGCTGTTGGCTACCAATGCCACCTGAAATTCAGTTGGTCCAATCATCCCAAAGCACATCTGTGTGTACAATAAAGCAAGGTTTCTCAACCCATGGGTTGTGACCTAAAAGTGGGTTGCAAGAATCTATCAAAAGGGTCACGAACAAACTTTAAAAACAGATTCTCCTTTAAAGGAGAAAAAACATGGGAAACCATGGCTTTTCCCTTGAGGGCTGGCAGAATTCCAGCCTGCCAGGGGCTGCTTTGGGCCCCTCCCATGCCCCACACAAGGGGACTGGGACCTGGGGGTGGAGGTCAGAGGGTCAGGAGTGCAGGGCACTGGGTTGGGACTGGCCATTGATGTTTACAAATGGGTCCTGGTAGAAAAAAAGTTTGAGAACTACTGCAATAAAGGATGGAAAACCCCTACCTACCACCGCACCTTAAATAAAGCAGGGGAATGAGTGGCATCTATACTGTACTACTCTTTCTTTCTCTAACCTGCCACATCTTAGTTTTGCCTGGACTGACAGGAAGTGGGAAAGCACAGACATTGCATCACTTGGGTTCAGGGAAGAAGGCAGAGCCATTTGTCACCTCAATTATATGCTGATGATACAGACACAAATCATTCTGCTAGGTTCCCTAGCATCCTCACCCACTAAATAAATTTCACCAATTTCTGCATGAGATGGAGCAGACAAACAATTATCCAATTCATGCTTTCTGAAAGACAGTCACAAAAGTACTGCATCTATGCTAAACAGGGCTCATACATGCATCAGCATTATGGTCAAAAAGGTGTTCAAAAGCATGGACCTCAAGAATGACCACCAAAAAAGGACTGGTTTAACCTCTGGATGAGAACCAGAATTAAAAGTATATATATCAGAAGAAATTCAGGAACTCCAGATAACCCCAAGGCAAGGGGATTGATGTCCTGATCTTGCATGTTATTCCAGGCATGAGAATCCATATCTTTAGTTGGAGTACCCCTTCTAAGCAATAAGTACTTCTTTCCTTGCATGGAAATCCTGTTGTGCAGGGTTTATCTTGTCCAGGAAGCAGGAAAAAAAATTTGAACGACACAGCAGAGTGAGAAGAGGATGGGGGAAAAAAAAGGTGCACTCCTATTATGACTAAGAAATACAATGATACTTCAAGAACATTCCATGCTATGATCAAATCTGAATGGGTTTTCTGCCATAGGTGCCTAAAGCAGTGTAAACACTATGCTTGTATTTATCTAGCATTGACCAGTACTCAAAAACAACTGATCTAACAGTTTGGAACAGGGGTGTCAAACGTATGGGCAAAGCCATGTTATCTGGCCCATGGCACAGACCAGAATTTTGATGGCAGGGCGACCAGCAGCGACATTAACCCCCACAGCTCAATGAGCCAACACAGCACCACAGGGAGCTGCAGCAGATGATGCTGATGTTGCTTGCTCTGCTGCCAAAATCGTGGATTTGCTTTGGCTGGTTTTAACATGGCTGGCACTCACAGGTCTGGATCTGGTCTGCAAGGTGCCTCTCAGTCCCAGTCCACCTAGTGAAGAGCCTCACGGTCCCAAATTCAGCCATGGGGCTAAATGAGTTTGACACCCATGGTTTAGAACAATTTGTCAATAGTTTTTGTTAAACTGTTCTCAAAGAAAAGGCTACCAAATTTTAAGAATGTGGCTAAAGATCATTTACAAAGGCTGTTAGTGGAGTTGTCTGCAGCCCAAAAGATTCTATTTGCTGTACATCAGAAATTCCTTTCTTTAAAAGAAACACACTTGTTTTAACTTGGCAAGGGGAAAGGGAGGGACTTGGTAACTATTAACCTTTTAATAGTTTTGTAAATGATTTGGGCATGCGGAAAAGGAGTTGTTTTGTAATATAAGGAGCCCTGTTTTCTAAAGAATTCTTGATAGGTTACAGTGGATGAACCCTCTGTGCTATCGTGCATGTGAGCTCACCTGCATACTCTGGTCTATCTAAAAGGGTCCATTTACATTAAGCAATCATAAATTAAGTTGAGCTGCATATATATAGTTTGTCTGTTTCCCTTTCCCTTCCCCTAACATTCCTGTCCTTGAATGTCTAGATTTCAAGCTACATGGTCATGCCCATTAACTATATGGAAAGTCCTTAACAGGTTAACAAAAGAAGAAAGATGTTTAAGTGAAAAAGCATCAAACAACCCATTCTCACTTCCCAATCTGGACTTAAGTTACTGCAAAGGTTATACTGGAACATTTGTTAACTGGTCTCATACAGTATCCTTGCCATTTGTTTCTTCCACTCCAAAGCACAAGTAAAAAGTAGTAGAAGACTTAATCTTAAGTAATGAGCAGCAGTAATTATTGTCTACTATTTGTTTTTAATTTTTTTTTTAACAGTCATCAAAATAAAAGCTACCACTGAGAAAAAGTACAAAGATTGCAGAAGTCAAAATACGTTTAATAAGTTAACTGCAAAACCGGTAGTCTGAACAAGATGACTGCAAAACACAGAATGGAAATTTGTTTTTTCTCTAAGAAAACACAAGTGTTACATTAATTAAACAATATAAGATTGCAATACAGATCACTCATTCCTTAAGGGATATTTTCCTTGCAAACAAGAAGAATTTGTTTAATGTCTCAATAGAATCATATGCCAGATGCCCTCTGAATACAGTCTTAAAAAGTAAAAATAAAGAAACCATAAAGACAAGAAAAAGCAGTTGTCAAACTTACCATGAACTTGATTGATTTCTGAATTCTGAGAAAGAATTTCATCTGCTAATTTCTGAGCAGTTGGCAAAACTTCTGTATGGTGCACTGTGATCAAATACTGTACAAACTTTTGTAGTTGGTCTCTGTTCATTTGAAAGAGTGTCTCTGAAATGGGAAGATGCAGTTTGACCTGATCTGGCTTGCGGATCCGATATAAAGAGAGTGCCACAACGTGGGCACAGTAAAATATGTCCTTGTTTCCACAGCTACAGGTCACTGAGGTAATCTTGCAACGATCAAAGCTGATAGCTACATTGCAAACAGTTTCTGGCTCCGATTGCATTGCAGGTTCTGTCACTGTGCCACTCAAGTGGAAACCTGTGCAAGAAAACAACATATATTATTCTGTAAAATACTACAGTAATATCACTGCCACATACTTTTCTTTAAAAATGGAGAAAAAGCAATCTGGTTTTAAGGAATGCCATGAACCTTTATAGAGAACTAGATTCCATGGCTACAGAGTCAAGCTAAACACTTGTCAATTGTTTTCTAAATACACTTTTCACACACAAGAGAACTTACTGATGGATCACCCCCTAAACATGGTTTCTGTTTTGGGGGCTGGTTTTTTGGTTGCTGTTGTTTTGTTTTGTTTTGGGGTTTTTTTTGG